ATCGTTCATATACTTATCAATCCTTTTCTTAGACTCACTTAAATCTACTGCCTCTACAACATCCCATTCCAAAGGCCAACCACCCTGTTAGAAAAAAATGAAACTGTCTTAGCTGAAGATGAGTCCTATCTTGCCAAAATTTATATTTGAATCCTCCAGTCCTACCATTCTTACTTTTAAGTATGAGAAAAGATGATGCATCAACACCATCAATCAATTCAATTATGTGTGACCTACTTTCACAATAAATAGCAGTAAAAGTTTATGAGAAATACAATGAATATAACTGGTTCTTTTTTGTATAGTAACTACATTCAGCTCATTCACACCAAAATGCTCTAAATCGCCTTTTACTTATGATAGTACTCCTCTGATTTTACAGTCCCTAGAATCCATATCTAGTTGAAAAGGAACATTTTTCCTTAGATAAACTAACATTAGTGCATCAACCAATATACGTTGTAGCATGTGTAATGACTTCACAGTACATCTAAAATGGACTTTGACCTTAGTTGATGCTGAAAGTGGTGCCACTGTTATAGAGAAGTTGGCTATAATGTGTTCATAAAGCTTTGGATTCCTTCTTATTCATGGGTTCAAGGCAGTCTACAACTACTTTTATCTTAGCAGGATCTCTAGGTACTCTGTCCCTACCCACAATATGTCTACAAAACTTATGTATTTGCATTACAGAATGTTTTTATTTTGTTTCAAACTTGCTTTGTTGCATAGGTTCAAATATCATGCTTAGGTTGCAAACTGTACAGGAAATGTGCAACCAAACATCAAAATGTCATCAATGTGTATAATAATCTATTTCCAATGAAATTCATGTAATTTGAGTTTTATCAGCTGTTCAAAAGCAGCTGATGTACTACAAAGTCCAAATAGCATGATACCAAATTCATATAAGCCTTTTCAAGTACCAAAGGCAGCATTGGAACTGCTTTTGTTATATAGCTTGAACTAAACCAGTAGGATCCTTTCAATGCATAAAAGTATTCTTATTGTGTGTGTGAAAAGGAAATACATCAGATGTTCACACAGAACCTCTTTTGTTTATTGCTATTACTACTGGCAACAAACATGCATTCTCTGAAGGTTGAATGATTATAATTTTCTTCACATGATCCATCTCAATATTGGGTATGTCACTGCTGCTCAAAGAATGCCTGCATGATGGTTGCTTTATAGGCTGCATTTTTTGGTGAATCTTTATCATTCTGTGTGACATTTCTTATTCCTAGTTGGTTGTTCCAACAAATACATTATACAATAAATTGTTCAATAATAATTTTTTGAGTTTTGTCTGAAC